ACACACAATATAGACATACATATATATGTCTTCTGTTCCCATAATCCATTTGTCTTAATGCAATAAGTACTATACTGTTAATAGGGGGCAGACAGATGTAAATGGTGAGAACAGAACATGAAGTTAAAGGAATAATTCTATAAAATTGGCTCATTGTGCTGACTTCCACATGCTTTCTTTCCAAGAAGCAATTTACCTGCAACCCTGCCTGGCTTAAGTGGAGAGGATATTTCACAGTCCTCATCAAACTACCTGTTATCTGCAGGAAAAATGCAAGCCTGAAATAAGAGAAATCCAAGTTATCCTGAAGGGGGAGCATTTTGGGACCCTTTTGTGAGAAACAGTCCAGTGATTCATCTTCAGAATATAGCATTTAGCCTTACTCTGAGATGTAAGAAAGGCAACCTGTAACCTAGCTATCTAAAGTCTACAGTCCTGGATCAAGTCTCCTGAGGATGGCCCAAGTGTATCCAATCATAGTGATTTTAACAATAGCCCTACCCTTTGTCAATTTAAAAACTAGCCAATCACATAGCTTGTAACTCAAAACTCCTCCTATCAGAGTAAGGGGCAGTGCTGTGTTAGGGATAAACAGGAGTGCACTACTAGGTGTGCTGGCTTGACCCAGTTTATTCAGTAGTGCAGCCATCGCCCTTCTGCGGAAGTAAATTTTGCCTTGGGAAACTACTTCTAAGTATCAAGTATTGAAAAAGTATCAAGGATACTTCTGCAAAATGAACAATTGCAGAGAAAACTGGCCAGATCCCAGAACTCAGACCTAAGTAAGGTCTCATTCAAAGGCAGAGACCTCACTAAGAGACTAACTAATGGATAGAAATATCTATGAGCTCCATCAAGGCTTTTTTCAAATGTAAAAGACTGAGGCTCAGCTATGGAAACACTCTAGCCAACTCCTTTGTCCCAGAGAGGTGGAAAAAAATAGAAGGTGAGAGTGAACCCGAATGGGAAATATAGGAGGGATTCAAGCTCAGGCTAAAGGATAAAACAAATATCCTTGATACTTTTTCAATGCCTGTTTAACATAGATTTTGATCAATGTTCATACCCCCAAACCATATAAGCCCTCTAACCTAGTATATCAAAATGGGTTTTCCTGTTATCAGGCCACCTCCATATTGGGGAGTTCTCTTGAAAAACCAGCCTCTACCTCAGAGCAAAGCCTGTCCTAGGAAGGGACATGACCTTTGTCCTTGGAAAGACCCACAGAGCACTCCGAGGCACATTCCCACCCTGCTAAGTGGTTTATCTACAAATAACAGGAGAGATCGATGTGCTGCGCCAGGTGTCCCTGACTCAGTCATGCTAGGTGGGGACCCATAGCAACCCCTAGCAGCCACCAATCAGCATGAGACAGGGAAATACCTGGGATGCCAGATGACCCTCCCAGTAGTTTATGGTGGTTGATAACGTGTTAGGAAACCATGTAGTTCAGCATGAACACCCCTCTTGGCTTAAAGCAATCAGTTCAGTGCGCGCGCGCTGAGGACCGAGCTAGCTCGCCATAAACACCTCTTTGCTGTTTACATCCATCTTTGTCTCTGGTGGTCTTTTGGGGGCCCCCGAATTCTAGCATATCACTCTGTCTTCTCACATAAAAAAATCTGCTCTATTCACTCTTCCTTTCATTGTCTGTGGATTTATTCTTTAAATTTGTGAGAAAAGAACCCAGAAGGAAATTTGTGTTGCCTGCAACCTACACAAACCCCATAAGCCACAGAAGAGGGGAATTTAGTTTCATTCCAAAACTCTGGTTTCACTGACCTGATTACTAATAGCTTTCTAGTAATGTCTTGAGACTTGATAGTATAAGTCCTCCAATTATTTTCTACTTTTTCAACATTGTGATTTATAGTCAAAGTAATTTTATTTATTCGTGAATTTTGAAAATTAGCTTATCACAGCATTTAATACCATGACATTTAATATTTAATGTACCTATAAAGAGGCTTTATGTAAAGATATTTATTGATACTGAAGAACCAAGATAATTTAAAAATTATAAAGAAAATGTGGCTGTATATCAATTTATTCACTTTTACTGTTATATAACATTATGCACTGTGATTATTTCAAAATTATTATATTTCATAATTTATATATTTGTGACTATTCTGTAATGTATATGTTGGTGAGGATGCTTTAGTGTTTTTGTCATTGTTTTCTTATTAGGAACAGTGCTGCTAATATGAATAGTATTTGCCTCTTTGGAACATGTGCAGGAGTTTCTTGTATGCAGTCTTGGTAGCAAATTTGCTGAGTCATGGTTTGGTACAATTTTCTAGTTAATTTATACTTCCATCAGCATATATAAGAGATTTTATTCATCCTTATTCTCCAGTATTTGGAATTGTCACACTTATCAATTTAGCCAGTTTAAATAGGGGGAAATTGATATCCATGCCTGTAGCCATCTTGGTTTCTAATTCCTTAGATGAGATTTAGATAGGGGTTTAGGATAAAGAAGGAGATATACTGAGTCTCAAATGAAATGACTATAAGCCATTGAGATGCAGTAAGACTTCAGAAACTGTTTAACTCTTGAGCAACGTGCTATTGGTTCATGCCTTTGTAAAATGAGGGAAATGAACAAGTGCAGGGAAAACTGGCATGAAATTATCTGGATTCCCCTGGCTCCATCTCCCATCCAGCCCCAAGTACTGCCCCTCTATAAATATTGGACCTCCAATACTAATCCTATAAGGTGCTCAGTGAGTTGAAAATAGCTCCTCCTACTTTTCCTTGGACCATCTTTTAATGAATAGAATTTTCTTATTTTAAAGTGGTCAATTTTATCTTCAGAATTTTTTTTCTGTTAATGCTTTCTGTCTTTAATTTTTAGTATTTTTTTTTGTAATTTTGTGGCT